CTGACTCTGCTTGCGTAGGAAGTCGACAGGCGCCGGGCAGCCGTAGGTACCTTTGCCCAGCATGGGCCGTGGGGGTCCCTTGGGGGAGTGGGCCAGGGCTGCTGTCTCCAGCTGGGCCAAGTGGGCTACGTAGCCCTCAGACAGGAACTGCAGGACGCACGGACAGCCTTAGCCAGCGGCCCCAGCCATCACACGCTCCCATCACCCCGGTGGGGTCAGCAATTGTCCCCTGGAGCCCCAGCCCAACGCCAGCTCCACCACCATACCTGGCACTGGTTGTGGAACTTCTTGACGGCGCGGCCCACGATGTAGATGTGTGCTGGTGCGAGCCCCAGTGAGCTGTAGACGGAGATGTCCTTGGTGGAGCCATAGCCGGCGACAATGGTGATCTCTGCCTGCCCACAGACAGGAGGGTTAGGGCAGGGAGCGACCCTTCCCACGGGGACAGCCATCCCCAGGGGACTGGGACACCCTCTTTTTACAAGGGATGGTTGCAACACCCACGGGCTGGGAGCTGCCCCTCTGTCCCCTGAGCAAGGGCCTGGTGCCATCTCTGCCATGGCAGCATGGTTCGGCTCCAAGCATCTCTGTCCGCAGCTCCGCTGACCCCCCAGGACAGAGGCGCAAGGGCTGCAGCACAGCCTGTGCTACCCACCACTGCCCATGTGCCCCAACCACCAGCGTCCCCGTCCCCACCTCGGTGCGCAGGCTCTGGAGGAAGGCAGCTTTTTGGCGCAGGGGGTCGTGGGTGAGGCCGTCGCAGAAGGAGACGGCACCATGGGGGAAGTTGTGCTGGGAGAGCCAGGCCACCACACGGTGCTTCTGCATGTCAGGGCGTCCCGTCACATAGATGATCATGTAGCCTGAGTCCTGCCAGTGCCTAGAAGGGAATATGTGCTGGTGCCAGGAGCCCACACAGGGACAGTTCTCTTGGTGGGAAGCCACCAAGTATCTCCCAACACATAATGAACAGGTGCTGCCTCCAAAACCTTCCTCCTCCCAGGGATTTTATCAAGGCTGAAGGCGCAGCGGAGCTGTGGGGTGTCACAGCAGGCTTCAGGACAAAAACTAGGTGCAGACTGCTTTTCTGCACCAGCATAGACATTCTATGAAAATCCTCTGGATGAGGGGGCGGCAGGAGATCCCTCAGCTCGTCCTGGGGCAGGCAGCTTGCTTCGATGCCCCCGCTACCAAAATAGGGTTGTCACCACACCGTGAAAAGGAGGGGGAGATCATCCTCCCTTATTTGAAGGCCACCTACCGTACAACGTCGACAGCGCCGGCCCGCACTTTGGGGTCACTACCCATGATGGAGACACTGGCAGTGAAGGAGCCGTCGATGCTGAACACGACCGACTCAGTGCCCCGGGCCACCACCGTCAGGTACGCCTCGGCATAGCTGTGGTCTCCCCTGGGACAGGGGAACAGGGAGGCTCAGCATCGGCTCGGCTGCACCTCTGCCGAAAGGGCTGGAGGAGGAATCAAGATGGCAGCGTGCACCTGCGCCTCACCTGACCACCATGCGCACGGGGTAGATGCCGATGGCCAGAGCCTTGTCTGGAGGGACAGTGAAGGTCAGGCGCCCGCTGCCGCTCGTCACCTCGGTGCCATAGTACAGCCACTTCCCTGACAACGGCTGCGTCATGATGTAGATGTCCACCTGCAAGGGGGAAAAGGGCTGAGCACAGACCAAACCTCCAGATCCTGCTGCATCCCCAACCTGTAAGTCCTTTCGACCCTTTCCCACCATCCTACATAGGGTCCTGTTCAACACATCCCTTCCCCTGACATGGGTGACACCAGCCCCATGCCACCTCCTGGACATCTGCACCCTGTTTGATGGGGTCCTGTTGGCACCCGCGAGCCCAGCGGTACCTTCTCCCCAGTGAGCGTCACCACGTCTAGGGGTCCGTACATGAAGCGCCCGCTGAGGACCTGCGCTTTGCCCTCGCACACAATCACGTCGCTGGCCCGGTGGTTGGCCGTCACATTCTGCGGGGACATGGGGGGCTCAGCAGCCGGGCTGGGGGTGGCACCTGAGGGAGCCCCAGAGGCAGCACAGGGACCTTGCCGGGCTGCGGGATCGTCCTGGCATCCTCCAAGCAGATGGGAGCAAACCCTCCCAGCTGAATGGCCCCACAGCTGGGGGTCTGCTTTTGCAGGATGCCCTGGCAAAGTTTCGGGGTCCCACCGGTGGCAAGGCACGTACCCGGATCTTGACTTGGGTGCGCTTGCGCTGCC